GGCTTCCCAGGGAGGGCCGGTCGACCAGACGGCGCGTTTCCCGCTCCAGGACCAATCCCGAATCTCAGCCCAAATCTCAAATCGTCCGGCTGAACATCTTTAAACAATGTGCGTAGCACCCCGCAGATGCGGCTGAGAGTGAGGGAGCGGTGAGGACGTCGGCAGTCTGCGAGACTCTGGGCTTTGGAGAAGCCCGCCGCAGGCGCCAAAGTATCACAAATTATTCAACAAGCCCGCAGCAGGGGTGGATCGCGGGAGGGTCGCGGGGTAGGTCGCGGGGTGGATCGCGGGAGGGTCGCGGGGTAGGTCACGGGTGGGTCGCAAATGGGTCGCGGGTGGGTCGGGGGTGGGTCGCGGTTGGGTCGCGGGTGGGTCGCGGGGTGGGTCGGGGGTGGGTCGCGGGGTGGGTCGGGGGTGGGTCGCGGGTGGGTCGCGGGTGGGTCGCGGGGTGGGTCGCGGGGTGGGTCGCAGGGTGGGTCGCGGGTGGGTCGCGGAGGGGACGACTACAACAAACAAACAAACAAACAAACAAACAAACAACAACAACGCAACAAACATAATCCTCACCACGGATTCTCTCTTCAGCCACGCGCCCAGGGACAATGAATGACCGTTCGGCCCCCTCTCCCGGATATCTTTGATTATGTCTGAATGTGTTTGAACATCCCATTGACACAATGGGGATCTTCAGCCAGATTATTGTATATTTCTGAATAATAGTGCAAGTTACCGAAGATGTTCAAGCATATCCCAGGTCCACGGATCGGGCCGGTTTCGGCCATGACGCCAGACCTGGCAAGACGTCATCGCGACTCGGCCCAGCAGTGCCAGACCTCATCGTGGTGGCCCCTGGCAGCGCCTGTTACCGCAGCGCTTTCGGAGCGCCACTCGGGTCGTTCGAATCCAATTGGCGGAATTCCGCGGTTGCCCGCTGGCGCAAAAAACAAAAATCCCGTGGCGTCCCGCCGATCGTTGAAGCGGCGCGGCAGTACTTGCTTGCGCGGTTGCGTTGGGCCCCCACGGGCTTCCTTGAAGCCGCGCACCAAAGGTCACTCCGGCCTAGGGTCACTCCTGCGTGTAGTCGAGACGTAGCACCCAGAAATCTGGGTCTATTCCCTGTTGCCGGTTTCTCATCCCGAGTCGTGTTTCGACGGTCCCGGGGCCCGGCGAGGGCCCCATTAGTTTGAACATAGCGAGCAGAACGTCTGTCTCGTTTCTTCCGCGACGAGAGAGGAGGGCTGGTCACGAAAAACGGCAGAAGAGCGCCTTCAGCAGCGGCTTGCACACGTCCACGCGCGTCGCCTCGTCGTCCGCCTCGGACAGCTGCAGCAGGCGCGCCAGGTCCCCGGCGCCCGCGGAGCCGCCAGCGCCCCCCTCGAACGAGCGCTGGAGGTACTGCCCGTAGAGGCGTCGGCCCGACATGGGGTCTGCCTCCAAGGACAGCGGCGAATCCTGTCAGGGGGACGTAAGACCTGGGCACAGGGGACTCGGAAATCCCCGACGAGGTCGTCAAAAAATGGCGAGGCCGAGCCTGCATTTTGACGAGGCCTCCCTGTGCAGACATCCCACGAAACTCCTCCTCGTCAAAATCCGAGGCGTGGTCGTCAAAAAACGATGGCGAACCCGAGTCCTGGCACACCCGGGTCTTACGCTCCCCCGATCCTGGAGCAAGAAGCCCAGAGATCCGGGCGCCTCATTTTCTTCACAGCGGGCGATGTCGCCCGGTTGCGGACCTCATGGCCCTCACAGGTCGACATGGCTCGAAACGGTGACGCAGACAGATGGGCTCCATGGCTCCGGTCGTGGCTTTTCCGAGGTTGCAGTTCCGCCGCAATGCCGGATCTCGGGGATGCGCGCGCGCGTGTACACAAAGAGGGGGCCCTGTCACTGAGGTGCCCCGCAGACTTCCCCGGAGGCCTCGGCGGCCTTCAGGGCCCCGCTCACGAGGCCGTGAATGGCCCCAGGGGGATGTACAGGCGGATGTTCGAAGATAAATCGGCAAGAGCCGAGAATTTGCGACGACTGGGGCAGATAAAAGAAACACCGTCCCGAGACTATATTCTTGACGATTCTCGAAAAATTCCCTCCTGTAGAGGACATGCCCGACTTCACCCCAGGGGCTCCACTAAGGGCGCGGGGAGCCGGGGACGCCGTGGGCCGCCCCCAATGGGAGCTGCGCGAGAGGCCAGCCCGCCTCCTCGGCGTCGGCTGAGCTCGCAGGGGCGGTGGCGGGGGACACGGCCGCCTGGGGCCCCCCCTTGAGGGGCATCGATAAGGGGGGACTGGCATAGGGGCGGATGCATCGACCTAGAATCGGCGATGCATCGCCGATAGCTCGGCGATAGGCTCCCGATAGTGAATCCGCACCTTCCTGTCCAAGTTGGGGCTATCGGGCCCCTATCGTTGATCAATCGGCGAATGGGGGTCGATGTACCCCCCTGTGCGTATCCCCCCCTATCGTTGCCCCTGACCCCTGGGCCACTGGCCCGGCCGACGCACCGGCGCGCTCCCCGAATCACAACTTGAATCCGGCCGAACAAAATTTTGGGTGACTTCGGAAACCCTGAACCAACAAAAACGTTTTTGAAGGGGCCCCAGGACACACAAATAAATACACACAAATAAAAATATTCCCCATATTTTCCCATATTTTCTGAGGTTCTGTCTTCCCCCCCATTTCCTATATTTTCCCATATTTTCTGGGAATCGACGATTAATTGTGTCTGTGTGTTTTTTCCCCTCCTGAGTTTTCCTCTCTCGGGGGCGCATTCCGTACTTCCGCTGCCTTCCGCCGAGCCTCCGCGGGCGTCCGCCGGCGGAGGCGGCCTCGCTCTGCTTCCGCCGAGCCTCCGCCGACCTTCCCTCGCAGAAGAGATGACTCCTCCTTCAATCCTCGAAGGCAGGGCCTTTTTTGCCACGCCCCAGTTGGGCCAGGGCTCACATACATTCAGGTCGGGCATGTCCCCCTATAGGCGGTTTTTGGAGGAAAAATAACAAATACCCCAAACGTTCCCCAAAATAGCCAAAACATCATAGGAAACTCGTCCACAGACTATGTTTGACTATCTTTTAATACTGTTCATGTAGAGGGACAAGCCCGACTTAAACATACACCCATGGTCTTGGATGCGACCACATTGGCTCAAGAAGCTTCGGCCCTGGTTTGGCCAGCGTCTGCTCTGTTCGTCGCAGGCCCCAGGGGCGGGACGGGGTGGAACCTCAGAACCCGGCAGGCGCTGGCAAAACTCGTCCCGGTGTTCCTCCAAGACCGCAGATGTGAGCATCAACTTTCGTAGGCCCGCGCGGATTTCTCGGATCGGCGCTAGACTCCCCTGGCGGCGCCTCCGCCGCCACGGGCCATAATCAGGGGGGGGGAGCATGCTGCGACGCATGGGGTTGCCAACCAAACCAACAAGAGGAAGATGAGCTGGCTCCAGGAGATCCGCGCGCACCTCCGAAAAAGGCCGCTCTTCGTGGAGCCTTGCGCTTCCCCGATCCTCTCCCGCATCGTCCCCGGCCGCCAGCGCACCGCGCAGCTGCGAGAGCACCGCGCCGCTGTCCGCCACCGCGCCCGCGCGGCGTGGGCGCGCTGGACTGCCAGGTGCGGTCTGGCCGGGCAGCTGCAGGGCTTTTGAAATGGCCGACGCCCGTTCCAAGGTTACATTATGTCTTTGTGGGTGCCCTCCCCAAACGCAGTTTCCCTTCCGTGTCGATGACGACCCACCTCGCTCCAGGCCAATCGGATGGCAGGGTGCCTCCTGAAGTGCAGGCGGAGCCTGGAGTCACAGGCTTGCTGGGCCGACACTGTGCCGCCCAACCGCACGTGACCGCGCACATGAGCAAAGCCGTCGATAAAACTTGCATTCAGGGGCAGCGCAGCAGGAGGAGGGAGAGGGACAAACAGGATGGGCTCGGAAAACCAATCACCAACAGAGGGTATCATGAAAGAGTCGAGGTGGGAGACCAGAACAGCGCTAAGCAACGAACAGGTAGCGTTGTACCTGAGATCGCCTATGTCCACACCCGTCTGGACGACACATCCGCAAATGCATCCCCGAAGGGGCGCAAAGAAAACGAGAGGCAACACGCATTTCACGAGAAGCGAGGCGGAGGATGGATATGCCAACGTACTCATGCGCTTGTTGTAACAGTGCATTCGATAACCTGCTAATCGGTTGCTCAACGTGCACAGGTGTGATATTACTATTACACCACGCGGATCAGCACGGCAGTGTTCGACCGGAGTCGGAGTGGCCACGGTCATTTGGCGGTTCAGAAACCATCTGGACACATGTTCCAATCGATGCCGATCGCCAGCACGTTGAAGACAGCAGCGGCGATATTGGCCTTCTGCTGGATGGCCGCAGGCGGCTTGACGCTGGCAGGAGATCAGCACACTGTGCAAGCAGAAGAAGCCAACGGGCTCGACCAAGAAAGGAACAGTTTTGGAATATGATATTGGTGCCCAAGATGCGAAAAACAAATGTGCATGGGCTTCGAAGGCAGCGCCGCATTGAACAGTTGCGTGGCCCAGCCATGGGCAGCCGACACAGTAGGCGAGGGTGAGTAGCACTGCAGAGGGAACTGAAGCTTACACAAACAGAAGCGGTTTTTTGACGACGTAGTGAGAAGACCCCACCCTCGCTGGCGGACAGCACGATCGCGAGCAGTGAGCGCTGGCAGGGCCCCGTCCCAAGCGTGCAAGTGCGCCTGCGGACCAATGAATTTGCCAAGGTACTTGCAGTCGCGGGCAATTTCAAGCAGCGAAAAGGGCCCCCCTGAGTCGACGCACGCGCGGGTGTACATGTTCATGCTGGCATTCCCACATGATAAAGAACAAACCAAGTTTTGAAGTAGAGGCATGCGCCAATCGTGGGCGCAAGAAGGGTGATAAGGTCCAGGACACTAGGAAGACAAGAGGAAACGCTGGGGCACATTCTCGGCCAGTCATCGGCGCACGCAAGCATATTATGAATACGGAGGCCACTCTTCCAAATCAGCGAGCGCACGATAGGGTCAGTGCAGAGGGCGAAGAAGATCATAAAGGCAGGACCCCCTTGCCGAACTCTCCTTTGAATGCTGGTGTGTGGGATGCGCCCGCCTCCCACTACCGGGGTTGGCCCAACAAATGTTTTGATGATAGGGCTGCGGGTACAAAGCGACCAAGGCACCAGGGAAGAAAACATCGTGCCAAGAACGAAGGTCCTCCAACTAACGAAACCGGAACGGAGGGCTGCCGAGAATTGGGTCAGACACTCCGCTGCGCGCATAACTCCCAAGCCCCGTTGCTCGAGTTCCCAAGCTTCCGCCTCCAGCACATTGGCCAAGAGGGGGGTGTCCAAGAGGGGGGGGGTGCAAATCATGACTGGCGGCATGTGCGCGGCCCAGCGGGGGGGCCAGGGACGTAATGAAATAAGAAAAGGCGCCATGAAATCTGGGGAAATATCATGGCCCACGCCATGATATCCACCCCCCCTAGTCATCATCCCCCTCTTTTCCGCCCCCGAAGACCCCCCCTTGCTGAAGCTCCTGCGCTGGGGCAACAGCAGCTGCAGAAAAAAGCGGCGAGGGCACGGCAGGCGACAGGGCCGTGCGGTCAGCGATCCAGCGCAGGCGTCCGAGTGCCGGCGAGGGCGCGGGTGGCGCCAGGAACGGAGTCCGATGGGCGCGTGCCATTTCGGGAGCGGCCAAGAGGGGGGTGTCCAAGAGGGGGGGGGGGCAAACCATGACCGGCGGCATGTGCGCGGCCCAGCGGGGGGGCCAGGGACGTAATGAAATAAGAAGAGGCGCCATGAAATCTGGGGAAATATCATGGCCCACGCCATGATATCCACCCCCCTCTAGTCATCACCCCCCCCTTTTCCGTCCCCGACCATTCTGGAAGCAAGCGAGAAGCGTCTCACGCATGCTGCTCGGCACGTGCCGAGCCCCCGGGCCGTCAACAAAAGAAAACTCGGGAGGAAGAGCCGGCCGCAGGAGAGGGCGCGAGAGACGGTCGGCATGTCTGGGGCCCTTAAGTGGGCCCTGGAAACGGCAAGGCCGTTTTTTTACCGGTTGCGTTTTGCCGTTTTTGTTGCCGGTTCCGACGCCGTTTTTTCACCGGTTCCGTCGCCGTTTTTTGACCGGTTCTGGCTCCGGTTCCAATCCTGGAGCCGTTTTTTTGCCGCTTCGGGTCGCCGTTTTTTCGCCGTTTCCATGTTCAAGGGACATTTTTCTGGAAACGGAAAAAAAAGAGGCCCTGCCGTTTCCGGGGCCCACAAAGCTGGGGCCCAGTCTGTGTAAAAATCACGGCCCCCGTCATGCCCAGCTCTCTGGCGACCCGAGGAGATCGCTCCGGAGGGTCCTCGCCGCTTGCGGCACCTGCCCTGCAGGGGGGTCTCTTCCGAGCCCGTTGGGAGTCTCAGCCCCGCTTGGCACACGAGCTCGTCGGGCCGGAGAAGAGAGGAAAGAAGAGCGACTGCTGAGGCGGATGCTGGACCAAGTGCGCTGGGAGCCACTCTTTGTCGAGGGTCTGCTTGTCCTTCGCTGTGGGGGCCACCTGGGACGCGCCGCGTGGAGCGACTGTCAGAAGGCGGGGGCGGGGGGCCGGAATGGCGCGGGGAAGGGGCCCTCGTGCGCGAGGGAGGGGCACTGCACACGGAGACGGCGGCGAACCGACGGAAGTGGGGTGTCGGCAGGACAGGTTGCTGCGTGAGGGAGGGGTGAAGAGAGGAAAGGTGCGTGATGGAACCCGGCCACCTTGAGTTGGTCGTTGACGTTCACCGCGACCACGGTGTGTGTGTAAGTGACCGTACTGTTGCGGCTCTGCACGAGCACCTTCTTGCCCAACAGCGCGACCGAGTCGCAGGTCTCAGTGGGGGGCCCTGTGACAGAGTACTCCGTGGGGAGCGTCCAAGGAGTCTTGTCCTTGTTGTAAGCGCCGACTCCAGGGCTGGCGAGCTGGGCGCGGCCGTCCGCGGCGACAGCGTACACCTGAAGGGAATGTCTGGGGCGTGCGGTCAGAAGGGAGTGCGGGGGGGGGGGGGGGCAGGGTGGTAACGGAGGCGGCCCTCGAGAGGGCTTTCGGGAGGAAACCTTGAGCCCGAAGACGCAGTCCCCGTCGTCTGCCAAGCGTTCGCAGTCTGCCCAAAATGGCGCCCTCCCCCCCCCTCCATATGGTGCACCAGATGATGATCCAGGGGATGGTGATGGTGACTGCGGAGCAAAAACCTGCCTGAGCAGCGGAGCGGCCGGGGCCGAGGTGATGACCCGTCGCACGGGCCTTGGGGCTCCGATCCGCTGGCGGCATCAGCGACGTCGATTGGACCTGAATCGAGGACGTCTCGGCAGCCCGTCGCCTCGCAGGGCGACGCCGACAAGCATGCAGAGCAAGGCTTGCTACCCACCAGCCCAGGTGCTCGGCATCGTCGCGCGGCAACGGCGCAGCTGCCGATGGCAGCGCCTGAAATGTGCAACCCCGTCTACGGCAGGTTCGCGTCGTGCCGACCAGCGGCGACCCAGCCGCCAGCTTTCATTGTGAAACGCCGCCGGCGACCCAGAATCGGTCGATGTTGAACGATCTGACGTTTCGGACATGGCCGATCGTTCAGGGTTGAACGATCCCCGCGGTGTCAGAAACCAACACCGAAGTCGGCACGACACGAACTTGCCGTTCAGCGCAGAGGGTCCCGCCACCTGCGCGGCTGCACAGCCGCGTACTGCGGACGCCTCCGCACAGTCCGTGGATTCCATCGTGCCATCGGCCAATTCGGTGTCGATGCGTGGAGGTGATTGCGGGATAATTCATGTGCTTTGGCCTGCTGTGGGTCGCCGACCATGTTGGCCATTCCCTGCGGATGCAGAGATCACGGCGATTCCTCCTGATTCGCGAGCCGCTCCCGTGGAGTGTCGGCCAGATGAGAATTTGGAGTTTGGATATGTTGTTTGGGAGACCACCAGACTTTCTGCATCTTGAGCAGCTTCTGGAGGAGGCCAAAGACTGCGTGGGGATGCTCCTCAACGAGTTCGCTGGGCTTGTCCATGTCGTTGTGGATACGACTCGTGGCCCTCATGCGCTGCCTGTTGATATCGCCATGGATCCTCCGATCTTCCGTGCCTGAATGATGCGCGGGGAGGGTCGGCGACAGTCGGCGATGTCCATCGGAGATGCATTCGAAGAGGACTCGTCAAAAAATCATCATCGTCACCTCCATGACCATCACCATCCTCGCCACACGGTGCGTCATTGCAGAGGGAGGCTCGTCGTAGCACGATGCATGCTATAACGGCGTAGCCTCCCAAATCATGATGTACCGAAGCAGAGACCAGTACTGTCCTCGCGACACGTGAAAGCGAAACTCAGAACACGGCGAGCTTCGGGCCCGACAAGTTAGTTACGAAAGACGACGAGGCCGCACCGGGCGAAGTCAGTTAGCGAGAAAGCGAAAGCGCCGAGAGGACGCAAGCGAAAGCGAACTCGAAAGCGAACCGCTCGGAAAAAGTTAATAGCTTCGCTTTCGCGTGTCGCGAGGACAGTAAGTACCCACTAGCCTTCGGCCCGTCCCGCCGCTGCGCCTGGGTTGTAGGTCCGAGGCCTCTCGGGGCCCTCCCGGCCCGACCTGGGGCGCTCGCGGCTCCAAAGTATAGTCCTGCGGGAAGCGCCGGGGAAGCGCGGGGGGCACGCCGGGAGCCCTCAAAGCTTAAGAATATACCGTCGGGGCGCTGAAGAAGGAAGCCTTTTCATTGTGGAGGGGCTCCGTGTTCCTTAATTGTTTCGCAGCTTGCCTCAGGTTTTCCTCAGGTTTTCGATCTGAAATCGAAGTTTAACTTATGGAAAGTAGGGGCCTCGTTCCTTGTTTGGGGTTCCTTAGGTCAACGACCCGACTGTAAGGCCCAGGCTCTTGACACTCAATCCCGAGGGCTGGGACGAGGGCCCCAAGGGGCCCGAGAGCACTCCTATTCGTGCCTCGCGGCACGGTGGCGGATGCCTGTTCAGCAGGGTTCTGGAACAGCGACGGGCTGGACACACGAGCGTGTTGTCTACTGGACCCGCCGTGCTTATAGGAGGCTCACGCAGAGGGGGGTGCAGATTTTAGAGACCAAGGGGCTTCGGCGTGCCATCGTGGTGTGCAGCAGCTCTTCTCCAGACTTCGCCTCGGCACACATGGAGCCCCGATAAGAAAAGCAGGGCCCCGCCGCCTCCAGCCAGCAGGACCTGGCCGATGCCGACATCGTCCTGGCCACCTACCGGCTCTTCTACTCCGCGCCTTACCTCGAGCGCCTGCGGCAGCTGGCCTGCCTCCAGGCCAGCGAGGGGCGCGGCAGGGCCCGCGCCGCGGTGCCGCGGTGGCGGGCCGCGCAGATGCGCCGGCGGGGCATGTTGTGCCGCAGGGTGGAGGTGCTGGGCCTCCCAAGTGCGGTCCGAGCAGCTGGGGTCTAGCAAGGATCGCGCCGCATCGCCGATGCATCGCCAGTGTGGAGCTCGATGTTCTGCACGTCGGCGTCGCCGATGCAGCGCCGGTGTCGCCGATGCATCGGCGATGCGGCGCTCTCATTCGGCGGCCGCCCCGAGCCCGCACGGGCTCAGGCGCAGAGCTCGCTCAGAGAGGAAGCCTGGGACGGTGGGCTCCCTGCAAAAAAAACGTCATACACATAAACTTTTGGCGCCCCGTGCGCATTTCTTGGATACGCGCCGGACCCCCCTCCCTGGCGCGCTCCGCGCGGATCCAAGAAATCCGCGCGGAGCGTCGAAAGTTTATGCTTCTGGCGCTTTTCCTTCTGCGACTGCAAGGGCCCACCAGATTCCTCACCCGCCGCTCCTGCTCGCGCGCATCGACCCCCACCCTCCCGCCCCAGACCCCTGGCCCGGGACCACGGCGGCGGGGTGTGCCGCAGACGCCCGCATGCTTGGAGAAGCTGAGCATCTTGTCCATCAGACCGAGGGCCTCATTGTCGCCCTTCTTCTTCGCCTGGAAGCATGACAACAACTGCAAAAACTTGTTGCGTCGGCGGCGAGGCAGGGCACGTCTCTGAAGTGCCCTGGGACACACAAATAAATACACACAATAAAACAATTCCCTATATTCTCCTATATCTTCTGGGTTTTTGTCTTCCCCCCCACTTCCCATATGTTCCCGTATTTTCTTAGGAATCGACGATTCATTGTGTCTGTGTGTTTTTTCCCCTCCTGAGTCTCCGCTAGCGGAAATGCCTGAACGGGGATGCCGGCGAAGCGAATTTGGACACCATGCCGGAGGGGGAGGAGGCGGAGGACGCGGCCGAAAGAGGGGGCAGGGGAAGCGAGCCGCTCAGGGGGACGAGTCACGCCCCGAGCGCGCGGCGCAGAGCTGCAGAAACAGGAATTTCCAGAGCTCCGCGCGGACAATGATCCTGGATCGGCACTGGACCCCCTCCCAGGCGCGCGGAGCGAGCCGTGGGTCGCGCCAGAAGCGCCGACAGATCCAGCTCAGATCCAGAGGCGGCGCCGGAAGCGCCGCCAGGGGGATCCAGCGCAGATTTAAGAGATCTGCGCGGACCTCGAAAGCTGATGTTTATGCAAACTTCGGGGAACTCCAAACATCCTGCGGCGGGGTGTTTTTGAATTCCCTCCAGACGATCACTGAGCAAGCCAAAACTTCGGCGCCTGCGGCAGGTTTCTTTTGAATTCGTTCCAGGTGGAGAACCTGCGACCCAATCCGCGATCAGTGTGCAAATCAAAATGTTCGGCGCCTGCGGCGGGCTGTTTTTGAATTCCTTCCAGGTGGAGGTGGAGAGCCCGCGACACACCCGCGACCCAAATCCGCCGGCCCCCTTGTGGGGCCACCAGGCTGTAGGCCCGTGATTCGCAGTTTCCTGTACCAGTCGTAGGTTGTAGTTTCCAGTGTTACAGTTCTGCTTCTTGCTGGTTACTGTAACTAGTTGACTTATTGCTGGTTACTGTAACTAGTTGATTGACCGCGCGAGGGGGGGGGAGGCCCAAACCGGCTTTTCAGCACCCCCTGGGCGCGTTGTCTGAATTGCTGGGGGGGCTCGAAATCGACACCCCTCACGCAGATCCGCGGGGTCAGGGTCCAAAAACACATGGGATTTGCCACATTTCTGAAATTCGGTGCCACCCCTCACGCAGATCCGCGGGGTCAGGGTCCAAAAACACAGGGGATTTGCCACATTTCTGAAATTCGGTGCCACCCCTCACGCAGATCCGCGGGGTCAGGGTCCAAAAACACAGGGGATTTGCCACATTTCTGAAATTCGGTGCCACCCCTCACGCAGATCCGCGGGGTCAGGGTCCAAAAACACAGGGGATTTGCCACATTTCTGAAATTCGGTGCCACCCCTCACGCAGATCCGCGGGGTCAGGGTCCAAAAACACAAGGGATTTGCCACATTTCTGAACGCAGATCCGCGGGGTCAGGGTCCAAAAACACAGGGGATTTGCCACATTTCTGAAATTCGGTGCCACCCCTCACGCACATCCATCGCAAGGCGTGGTAACCCAAACTGCGAGTACTCCCTCGGCCCTTTAATCCCAAGGTGTGGTAACCAAGCTCGTAAACCATACACGTCTTACCAATCGCCCTGTGTGGTAACCCCTCTTGTGATCAGTTGGTTTTGCCGATTGCGAATCGGCCTCGTATGAAGTTCCGATACTGCTGCACGACAGCGCCAAAGCCTCATGACTTAGCTCTTCCATGGCCCATTCTCCGAGAGAGGGGGCCGGCGGCAGGGGGCGAAGCCCTTACGGATTACGTTCACTGAACAGCCCAAAAATTCGGCGCCTGCGGCGGGCTGTTTTTGCATTCGTTCTGGGTGGCCCACCAGAGATGCCCCCCGCGCTGAACCACGCAAATCACGAGGAAGAGGAGGAGGAGGAGCAGGAGGAGGAGGAGAAGGAGGAGGAGGAGGGCGCCATCGACAGGGAAGGTCAAGGCGACGAGGTCCGCCGGCTCGAAGCCCGCGTCGCCCGCGCCCGCCCCCTCACTCTTATCCACAATTGAGGGGTGCTACGTACCGTTACTCCCCAGATCTCTTTCGGGGTGCGTTCTGACACGAATTTCGAGGCGAAACCAGCCATGGCGATGATGGCCTCCCAGAAGGCCCCAAAAAGCAAAACACTCCGACGGAAAGACTCCTTGAGACCTGTTGTGCCCGTGGAGCTTTTGAGACCTGCGGGGCCAGTGGGACCTATGGGACCTGTGCGGCCTGCGGGGCCTGTGAGACCTGTGGGGGGCCTGTGGGTCTTGTGAGACCTGTGGGGCCTGGGGACCCGGGGGATCTGCGCGGGGAGCTGTGAGACGCGTGGGGCCCGTGGGACTCGTGCTGTCTGCAAATTTTGCTGGAGCTGTGGGGCATTTGGGGCCCGTGGGACTTGCGGGCCCTGTAAGACGTGTGGGACCCGTGGGGCCGTCGGTGCCTGTGGGACCTGTGGGGCCTGTGGGACCTGTGGGACCTGTTGGACTTGTGGGGCCCGTGCGATCCGTGGGGCCGTGGAAGCCTGTGGGCCCTGTAGGACATGTGAGACCGGTTGGAACCGTCGTGCCCGTGGTCCTCGCGCTGGAGGCTTCCTCGAGATTCAGGCTGCGAGGTGCGAGAAGCCCTGTGATTGACATCTATCCCGATGGCCGCCTCGTATGATCAACAAGAAGTGCGGGCGCCACAGGGAGGGAGCTCCCGCGAGAGCCCTCCTCGAGATTCAGGCTGCCAAGGGTGAGACACCTTGCGTTTCACAGGCATCCCGATGGCCGCCTCGGATTAACTGAACATGAAGTGCGGGCCCCTTCAGGGAGAGGCTTCCCGCTCGAGACCTCCTCGAGATTCAGGCTGCCAAGCGTGATGAGCCGTGTGGTTGCACAGGCATCCCGATGGCCGCCTTGGGTTTGGTACAGTGCGGGCGCGGCCGCAAGAAACTCTCGCAAGAAACCCAACCCTGAAAACCCGCGCACGAGGTGAGAGGAAACCCAGAGCACCTTGAACGCAGCAGCTTCTTCAACAGCTGCGGGAAGTCACCGCGCAGCGCGCGGAGCGAAGAAACCCAGGATACCCTGACGAAAAGCAGGTGTCTTGATGCGCGCCCCCACTGTAACATGAAGTGCTGGCCCTATAGAGACGGGGCTCCCGCTGGAGACTGCTATGGGACTCAGATGGCCAAATGTAAACCAAACGTTCTTTCCTACCAAGATCCCTATGGCGGCCTCGGATTGGTAACATGTAGTGCGGGCCCCATAGGGAGGGGGCTCCAGCTAGAGTTGCCCTCACGATTCACTCGCAGACGAGGCTCCCGCTCGAGACTTGCTCAAGACGAATGTGTGAGTGAATGAGTGTGTGTGTGTGCGCGATGGATGCTGCTGATGATGGCGAAAGTGTGATCGGATTGGGTGAGGTTAGGACTGCGCGGGGTGTCCAGAGAAAAGAAGACCCCCACTCTGGATGTGGGAAAAAGCCCAGGGCAACAGCATCGGTACTGTTTATCTCCTCCGAGTGAAACGTTTTCTTCCTCGACCGCCAAGACTCCCGACCCCTTCCCCACGGTGAGCTTTCCGCCCCGGGTCAACATGTTGATCCCCCTGGGCCCGCACAACGTGACCTTGGAGGCCGAACTGAACGGAAAGAAGGCCTAGACGTAGAACATCTGAAGTTCTGCGGGGGACACAACGGTACCGATACCGCTGCTCCCTGGACCTTTGCCGGGGTGCATGCTGATCAGAATATATAGGCCAACCCAGCAGCGGCAACGAGGGTTCTCTCGGACGAGCAACGGTATCGGTACCCGTTTGCCTCCTCCGAAGCTTCCCTTGAGAAGCAAAACCACTATTGCGCAGAAACTGTCGGACCTCCGCGCGGATTTATGAGATCGGCATTGGGCACCCTTCCCTGGCGCGCGCAGCGCCAGTCCGGGGACCGTGGAGGGCACCCGGAGGCCGGGAATAGCCAACGACCGTTCCGCCGATGTGTTCGGAACCTCGGGCCTGAAGGAGGCCATTCTGCCTCGCCTCAGCCGCCCCGGTACGCAACACTCAACCCGTCGCGGGTTGGCACGGAGGTCCATACGTAGGCCGAAAGCGCAGGTCGGCCGCGATGCGTTCGCCAAGACGCGGGCCGTCACGTGCCGAGCCACCACGCAGCGTGTTGGCACGGATGACTTGCACACGGCACGTGCTGCGTTTCAAGACGGGCGCATCGGGGCGGCTAAGACTCGGAGCCTCGGAGCTCTAGAAAGTATTTCTTCCTCGGTCGCCTCCTTGCAGGCCTGGTCGTACAGCGACCGCAGGGTCGCGCCGAAGGCCTCGGCGGTGGCCGCGCACGCCGCCGCGCCCGGAAGGCCGAGCTGCCCCGCGCGGCGGGCCAGCAGCTCCGACGAGGGCGCCACGGCGTCGGAGGGCGCGCCGGTCAGCAGCTTCTGGGACACCTTTTTGGGGGGCGTGGGAGGGGAATGCGAGGCGAGGATCCCTCCAGATCCACCGCTGGGGAAGCGACGTCCTGCAGGTGCCCCAGCGGGCGGCGGATCTGGACCTATGTTTCGGCCCCCGGGGGCCCGAATATGTCCAGATCTACCGCCTGCCGAGGCTCCGAAAGCTGACCCTCCAGGCGGTGGTCATGTAGAAATTCCCGCCTCGGAGACAGGAGGATGACGATGTTCCTGGGCCAGGTCCCCTGGCCTTTCTTAGAGCGCTGCGCGCAGGAACCTGGCAGCTTTATCATCTGGTCGCCGGTGGCACCTTGGAGGTGACGGCGCGTCGCCCGTGGCGGCGAGTTCTCCCTCCACACGCCCCGTGGCGCCCAGAAAAGAAATCCACCGAAGCGATACCCACAACGACGGCATTCACACCTGCATATGGTTGGGTCCCTCACCCCTCGTCGGGAGAATGGCGTGCTCAACTGTTGAGCAGGGAGCGACCGTCCAGGCGTCCCAACAGTCCTACCACACAAAATTCCTAGAACGCGAGATGTTGGTAGGACAAAACAGACTTCTTATAACATCAACAAGAGGAGTTAAAACACGGCAGTCTCAGCCAGACCTGTTCGACAATATTTCGTGCAGACAACAAGCGGCTCCCACAACAATTTTTGGTGGGGCTATCAGCAAGTCGGGGCGCTTTGCCACTGTTCGAAGCTGGCCCCCCTCTGAAATGTGGGCCCCTGCCTGCTCGACGTCCTTCTGCAGCAGCGGGGCCGCCACGGAGACAAACGCCGCCTCGGCCGCGCTGTCGGACAGCTGCAGCACGCCCTTGGGGCAGCGTTGGGGGGGGGGCTCAGGGGGGGGAAACATCGAGCTGGAATCGGTGATACGTTTGTGGACGCCACGACAATGGACACCCTAACTGTCCGATCATTGAATTAATCATCCCAGTGCGACCCTACCTAGGAGTTGGAACCCCTAGGAAAGCAGCATTAGTAGTAACAGTAACGCTAAGCTAAAGCTAAGCTAAAGCTAAGCTAAAGCTAAGCTAAAGCTAAGCCACAGCTAAGCTCAAGTTAAGCTAAAGCTAAGCTAACGCTAAGCTAAAGCTAAGCTAAAGCTAAGCTAAAGCTAAGCTAAAGCTGCTAGCTAACAGCTAAGCTAAAGCTAAGCTACAGCTAAGCTAAAGCTAAGCTAAAGCTAAGCTAAAGCTTAGATAAAGCTTAGCTAAAGCTAAGCTAGAGCTAAGCTGAAACTAAGCTACAGCTACGCTCAAGCTGAGCTAAAGCTAAGCTGAAGCTAAGCTAAACGCTAAGCGAAAAGCTAAGCTAAATCTAAGCTAAAGCTAAGCTAAAGCTAAGCTAAAGCTAAGCTAAAGCTAAGCTAAAGCTAAAGCTAAAGCTAAAGCTCCCAGGGGACTGGGGGGAACCGCTCCCAGGGGACTGGGGGAACCGCCCGGGGCGCTTTGCACTGCCCGGCCCCTTTAAGCTAAGAGAGTAAGAACCCTTCTAGGCAGAGCCTAGGTAGGGAAACATGTCGAACAATGTTCCGAACATGTTTAGAACATGATTTTAACATTTCTAAACCATGTTTTTCCACATGTTTGAGACATCGGGGCATTATCTGGCAACAAGCTTCCTCTCCACGGATCGTCCTCCACAAGGATCCGTCGATGGGCGCCCGATCCAGCGGGCCCAGGCCTGCACGGAGAAGGAGATGGAGGAGGAGGAGGAGGAGGAGGAGGAGGAGGAGGAGGAGGAGGAGGAGGAGGAGAGGAGGAGGAGGAGGAGGAGGAGGAGGAGGAGGAGGAGGAGGAGGAGGAGGAGGATCCTCGATGGGCGCCCGAGCAGAACACCACCGCGCAGGGGACATGGGGCTCCTCCGCCCGAACCGGGCACGCGAGGCCCTCCGCGGGCCCAGGCTGCCCAAGATCATGCCACGAGCACGAGGAGGAGGAGGAGGAGGAGGAGGAGGAGGAGGAGGAGGAGGAGGAGGAGGAGGCTTCGAGGAGGAGGAGGAGGAGGAGGAGGAGGAGGAGGAGGAGGGCCGAGCACGCGGAAAAAGGACCACCCTTCGAGCCGACAGCATGAAAAGGACCCCCCCCTTCTTACCAGCCTGGAGCAAATCCCTATCCCTATGCTGGGCATCTCCTCATCACGATGCCAATCCTAGGGATCCCCTCAGTTTCTCAGGGCGAATCCCCAAGATTGTCATCGCCGTTTGGATTGTCAAGCTAAGCGGATATGGATGAGTTCGAGGCTCTTGACCTTCGAGCCGACCTCGATCGTTCGGCGGTGGACAAACCTCCCATCAGTAAACCATCCTGTAGCGAAAGCGGCATGGAGCCGAAACCGACGGACCCGGACCCGCAAAGAGGACGGCCGCGACGCCCTCTCGCGAACCGAAAGCGGCCAATTCGCCAATCGACGTGTCAGGGTAGGAGGTCTATCAACCTGCGAATCTTGTTCCTCGGTTCGACTGCAGCGATCATCTGGCTCTGGGCGGGTGGCAATCGGGCTCCTGTCAGCGATCAATGGGCGATCCTGGGTCGATGCGCCCCACCCTGGGCGTATCCCCTTCTAGCGCTGCCCCTGGTCTTCCTCGGGTCTCAGACATGCGATCTGCTGACTTTTTGAAGACGGCGTCCCCAGAAGTCCCGACCCTTTCCCCGGGACCGGTTTTTCATCCCGAATTGTTTTTTGACGGTCCCGAGGCCCGGCAAGGGCCCCCCGAAACCGAAATGGACCAAAAACCTCCGTCTTGATTTTTTACGACGCGATCATGTCTGGGGCCATAACCCGGCTCCCTGCCAGCCACTCGGGACGCTCTGGGCAGCCCTGGACGCCCCTCGGCGAGGCGCGGCTGCCGGAGAGCACCCCGAGGCTGGATGGCCCCCGAGGACCTCTATAGAGAAACGCCCAGAAACCTTGACCTTCGAAGGTGACCCCCTGGCGTCGCCCCTGGGCCTTTGTGGGCCCCGGAAACGGCAGGGCCGTTTTTCACCGTTTCCGAAAAAATGTACCTTGAAAATGGAAACGGCAAAAAAACGGCGACCGGAAACGGCCAACAAACGGCTCCAGGATTGGAACCGGAGCCCGAACCTGTAAAAAAACGGCGCCGCGGAACCGGTAATAAAAACGGCGTCGGAACCGGTCAAAAACGGCAAGACGGAACCTGTAAAAAAACGGCCCTGTCGTTTCCAGGGCCCACTAAGCCCTGGGCGGCCTGGGGGATGGACGCCTGCCCCTCCGAGCCCCGCCCCCCAAGACTGAAGGGGCCCCGGGGCACACAAAGAAATAGACACAAGCAACAGGCTTCCCCATGTTTTCCTATATTTTCTGTGTTTTTGTCTCCCCCCCACTTCTTATATTTTCCCATCTCTTCTGGGGAATCGACGATTAATTGTGTCTGTGTGTTCTTGCCCCTCCAGAAGGACGCTGCTCCTCGCCTTGGCGCTCGCCAGCGTCGCGGCGCCCTGCGCGGGCAGCTCCCCGCCCTCCAGCAGGTTGCTGGCGATCTGACCTGCGGGCGACCGCTCTGGGCGGCCTCCGCTCACATCCGGCCGCTTCAAAGTTTATTTCCTTCGATGCCGGAGCAGGGGCCGACCGTCCCGGCATTCCAATAGGCCTACCACGACATGTTCTTAGAACTCCAAAAATGTCGCAATCACAAAAACAATGTTCTTAGAGTATGGTCTCGATGAGCTAAAGCAAGACAGACTCAACCAGAAATGTTTTCAGAACACGTCGTGCAACCCCCAAGAGGTTGTTAGAACTTTCGACCCATAAGCGACCCGGGACGCTTCGCCCCTAATTGATGCGCACACACCCGGCCGCTTCAATATTCAGTTCCTTCGATGCGTGGGCCCCAGAGAGGTCTGGACCACATCCCCAGGGCTGGCTTCTCGCCCCGGGACGTTTCCTCGCCATCGCTCGTGCGCCCCCTCCCCGTACAAATGTTTCGGCTTCGCGCGCCTGGCTTTTTTTCGCGCGAGGATCTCCAAGATGCTCCTCGCCATGGTCGTCACCGAAAACATGCGACATGCACGGCGGCGACGATAGGGCCGAATAGCCCAGGGGCGGGAATTTCACGAATTCGCCCAGGAACCTCTTTCGAAGACATAGATCATCGGCGCATCTGAATACACGTCGTTCATTTCTAATCGTGCTCATTTCTAATTATGCCTGTTCTAATTGTTCGTGGCCCCCTAGTGGCCAGGAAGAGGCCCAGGATAAAACAACGAATTAGAATGAAAGGATCTTGGCCCCAAAAAAATCCAAGAACTTTCGAATACTTAGAAATGAACCATGTGTACATGTATTGCCCTCCCCTGGGCTATGCGCCCCGATCGTCGCCTCTGACATGTGCACGTCCGAACGATGCCTGAAGTTTCCTGGCGGCCCCGAGGCGCACATCGAGGACCCACCGAGGCCGTGAGCCCGAGCATGCGCGCCCGACAGCGGGCGAGGCCCTTGGGCGCCGGGCCGCAGAGAACGGGAGAGGGCCCACACTCAGACGAAGGGAGCGAGGCGGAGGGGGAGGAGCAGGAGGAGGTGGAGGAGCGAGGAGGAGGAGGAGTGAGGAGGAGGAGGAGCGAGGAGCAGGAGGAGGAGGAGGAGGAGCAAGAGGAGCGCGGAGGAGGAGGGGGGGAGGAGGAGGCGGAGGAGGAGGAGGAGGAGGAGGAGGAGGAGGAGGAGCACGAGGAGGAGGAGGAGCGAGGAGGAGGAAGCGGGGGGGGAGGAGGAGGAGGAGCACGAGGAGGAGGAGGAGGAGGACGAGGAGGAGGAGGAGGAGCTGGGCCTCTCCCGCCTGCGGGGGCGGAGTGGGGGAGGGCCAACACCAGGTCGGGCATGTCCTCCTACAGGCGGATGTGGGCGAACAGTGAGGAACAGTCCACATAAATACAAAAATTGGTCAACGAAAACATTCGAAAAACCGTCCCCAAACAATTGTTGTACTGCTGTTGGATCTTCCCCCTGTAGAAGGACACGCCCGACTTCAGGCTAACAATCCAGTCCGCGCGCCTCTCCGGGGCGTGCGCGTGCCGTGCGGCGGCACGAGCGTGGACTGGCCTCTCGGCTCGGTCGGCCGGGTCCGGCCAGCTCCACGCAAAAGTCTCGCCCGAGCGTCGGAGCTCTGGGACGGGGGCTCCCAGCGCCCTGCGGCTCCCGACGTCGCTGCTCGTGCGCGGCGCCGACCCCCCGAGGCTTGGACCTCTTCCCCAGGGGCCGGTTCTGCACCCTGAGCTGTTCCTTGACGGCCCCGGGGCCCCGTGAGGTCCCCCGGAGGCCGAAAATAGCCAACCACAAAAACAAAATAAAACAAAAAAACGTCGCGAGTGTTTCTCAATGCGAGGGGGCCTGGGCTCCCAGCGCCCTTCGGCGCCCGTGGCTCTCGGCGCCCCTCGGCGGCGGCCCCTCGGCGGCGGCCCCTCGGAGGCGTTCGCGGCGGCGCCTCGGGCGGCCCCTCTCGGCGGGCGGCGATCGGCGGCCCCCCCGCGCCCCTCCCGGCCCTCGGCGGCTTGTCGTCGCCGCCGCCGCCGCCGCCGCCGTCGTCGTCGACGACGAAAGAAGAATAATCACGGCAGGTTTTTCTCCACGTTCTGATGGGCCGATTTTCCACCACCACTACCATATGTAGGTAGGAGAGGGAGGAGGAGAAGGAAGAGGGGGACAGGAGGAGGACCTCCCCATCCTCCCTTCTTCCCCGTCCTACATATGGTAGTGGTGGTGGAAAACTGGCCCATCACGTTCGGCCTCCCAGGGGCCCTTGATTCCCAGGCCTCGGGAGCGTCAGAGAACGACTCAAGATGAAACACGGGTCCTGGGGAAAGGGGCGAGCCCCCTGGGGGATCGCCCTTGCGAAAACTTCACGACGCCTGGGGTCTGGGCCGACCGCCCCCCGCCCCCGCGACACCTCGAGTCTTCGGCCCGGCGTGCCCTGCACCCCCGGAGGCGCGCCCCTGGAGGCTGGTCTTCCCGGACCCGCCACCTTCCACACCCTCCGACCAGCAGGTGGCTGATCTAGTGATCTTCCCGAGGGGAGTACAAACTGCACGCGGAGCTCCGGAATTGAGTGTCTACGTCTATGTCTGGACCACGAACTTGCTAATCCCGTGGGGATTAATATCAGGGGTGCAGGGTTACTCCCGCCAGCTTCCGCCGACGCTCCGCCGACTGAAGCACCCTCGTTGTACTTCCGCCGCCTTCCGCCGAAGAAGATGTGGCAACTCCGTCGACACTCCATGGCAAGAAAGGCCCTTCTTGGAACTTTTCCTATGCGACCTGCTGAGTGGGGAGGATGCCCCAGGCGCCGCGCCCGATTCCCGTTGAGCAGGGACCGTCCCGGCATTCTTGTAGTCCTTCCACGAAATGTTCTTAGAACCCAAACATGCTCTAATAACAAAAATAGTGTTCTTAGAACACAAGCCCGATGTGATAAAACAATAGAGTCCCAACAACTGTTTTAAGCAAATTTCGCGTGAGCCATAAAATATTCTCAGAACATTGTTTGGCAGGACTATAATTAGGCACGCCAGGACGCTTCGCCACTGCTTGATTCCGAGCGTCCTCGGGGCGCTCGGGGGCGACCCGTCCTTCACCCCGGCCTGCCCGGCTCACGGCCCACGCCCTCCCTCGGCGCCCCGCGGAGACAAGGAAAGCAGACCGCAGCAGGGGGAGGAGGAGGCAGCTCGTGTTTCGCCGAGCGCGTTCCATTACTCGCAAAGTGCCTACCTGCAAACGTTCGAAGAGCAGGTGTTTTCCCTTTTTGCGAACTGTCGCAGGTCCCCCGCGGCGGATCCAGGCCATGTGCGAGTAGCTACCTTGCGAGCAGCGGGGCGCGCTCGTCGAGCGTTCCAGGCTCGGGGCCTTCAGGTGCTCTTGCCGGTGCTCGGCGGTGTTCCTATGGCAGGACGCTTTTTGTTTCAGCAGCTGCGCCTCGTCGCAGGCTGCCGGGAGGTGCCCGAGGCGTCCGCGAACGGCCGCGGGAGAGGCCCGAGCGATGGGCTCCAAAAGGGCCACAGGCAAACGGGGCGGGCCTATGCTCAGGAGGCACGGGTGCCCCCCCTCCCCCCCAAAATGCTTCGGAGAAGTGGTCTACGAATTCCCCGAACAAGCAAGTGGCACGCATGGGCCTGTTTTCCACTACCACCACCATAAGTTGGAGGGGGGGACCTCCCCCCCTCTTCTTCCCCCTCCTCCTCCTCCTCCTCATCGTCGTCCAGCTCCCTCCCCCCCTCCAACTTATGGTGGTGGTGGTGGGAAATAGGCCCATCAGGCACGCCTGCCCTGGCTCTTGCGCCAAGGAGCTGCGAGGAACGGGAGGCGTTCGCCTCCTTCCTCCAGGAGTTTCCCTCGGTGGCCAGGGGGGGGAGGACGAACGACACACGACGAACGAACGACGACGACGACAACGAACGTAGAGAGGTCCGAGCTCTAGAACACAGCTGCGCAAGGGAATACAATTTCCTAGAACGCTGGACAGTACATGGACCATGCAGTCGAAGCCTTACACATTCGAGGGGGATTCTGACACCCCCACGCCCCCGACATCAGTGTTGATATCAGCAGTGGTGCTTCCAGGGTTCGGATAGTTGTGTCCACTCACGCCCCCTCCGTCGTCACAGCATCAATATGAATTTCGGGGGGTCTGGGGGGCATCCTGGGCCACAGAGTTCGAATATGATGTCCAGGTGCGGCAGAAGTTATGAGGCCCCCCTTCACTTCCCCCCCGCGCATCCCGCCGAATCACAGAACTTTCGATGGTCCGGGCGGCTCTCTTAGACCTGCGCTGTGCCCCCCCCAACCCTTGCCCCCCCCCCCCCCCTCGTTGCACCGACAGGGGCCGCGCCGGACGCGCCGCCAAAATATCCGCGCGGAACACCGAGAGTTCATGCCAACACGAATGGGGAGACAAAGGGAGATGCCGATATCGCCGCCCCCAAAAATCCCTCCCAAGGGGTGTGCTCTGGACAAAAACTTCTTCCACGAGAAACCAGCCGTGGCGACGAAGGCCTGCCGGGCGGCCCAACACAGGCGAAAAGGAGGCAACGGCATCGGCCGGTGCCGGCTACGTACACGTAGAAACGCCCCTGGGCCACAGTGACCTTTGCTGCGCGGGTTTCGGGGGCCGCAGTCGGGGCAGCATCCAAGCGTGCCGGCTGGTGCTGGGGGGACCCCAGGCAAACCCGCACCGAAGGTCACGCATGCCAAGTGCCATTGTTACGTGCAGGCGGCCCTTTACCTCCTCCGAGTCTTTACGCCGTTTGCTTTTCGAGGAAAGGCAGCGTCGAGTCTGCCGACGATAGGTATCCGCGTTCATCTTGCTCGTCTCCTCGCCGCGCGGCGCGCCCAGGGGCGGGGGGGGAATCCCCCACAGCCTGCGACGCACGAGAAGTGCGCGCCTAGGAGAGGCAGAAGAGGAGGTTCGAGGGGGAGGCAGGCCACAACCCAGAGATGCGACATCCTGGTTCCTAGAATACGCGGTCCCAGGAAAGCCCGACCATTTCCCCAGAGATGGTTTTTCATCCAGAATCGTTTTTTTGACGGCCGGGGCCCGTTGAGGGAGGACGAAAACGACGAACCCCCCCGACGTGATTTTCACGACGCGGGAAAATTTGGGACAGCAGCGGGGCCACCCAAACATGCCCGACACTCACGTGCGACTGACTTCTCAATGGGCGGACGTCGAGAGCGTGAAATCGGAGCTCGGAAGGCAACACTGGCACCTCGGCCAGGAGCAGAAAATATTACGGAAGGCTCGTGCTTGGTGGGCCCCGGAAGCGGCAGGGCCGTTTATTCACCGTTCCAGAAAAATGTCCATCGGAAATGGAAACGGCAAAAAAAAAGGCGACCGGAAACGGCAAAAAATGGCTCCAGGATTGGAACCGGAGCCGGAACCGTCAAACAACGGCGACGGAACTGGTAAAAAAACAGCGTCGGAACCGGCAAAAAAACGGCAAAACGGAACCGGTAAAAGAACGGCCCTGTCGTTTCCAGGGCCCACTAAGGGCTCGTGTCGTGACGACTTGCGCGTTGGTCCCTGACAGCACGTGACCCCGTCAACCTTGAACGATCGCAGCTCTCCAGTCGGAGAGGGGACGGGAGGGGGGGAAACATCGAGCTCGAATCGGCGATGCCTCGCCGATGCATCGTGGATGCGCCCCCTGCGGGGTGGGCTATCAAGCCCTACCGGCGAAGACTGTGCAATTGGGGGGGTGCGATCCCCTCTGACGCTAAAATTTTCCTCGCATCCCCGTCGGGGGAGACATCGAGCCGGTGAAGTCGTTCTTGGGTTGAGTGGGTTATCGATCCCCTTTCGGCGATGAGGGGGCGGTTGGGGGGGATGCGTTCCCCCCAAAACCTATCCCACCGCTGCGCTGAAAAACCAAAAAGGCCCCAAGACCCCCCAGATCTTTTCGCAGTCCCGGGGCCCCGATCGCGCCATAGATCCCCCCTGACATCCTTGAAATTCGGACGTCGTCGTCTTGCGGGGTGAATGGCGACTTTGATCCCCGAGTGGGTTTCGATTGCGCAATAGAATTGAAGCCAAACCCTTGGGCGCTTTCCAGTGTTCACGCTATTTTCTGAGTGGCAATTTCTGCTCGCGGGGCACTCGGGGACAGAAGTCGGCTGTGGTCGTCAGCCCTTCGGGTTTTCTCAATGCGAAATTCTTTTCTGGCGACGGGTCCGCCTCGATACCGTCCAGGGGGCGCGCAAATCGACCCGATCGGCCCTTGGTGAAGCGAGCAACTTTGGCCCGATCAGTGTCCTTCTCGCGCTACGACGTCGCAACCAAACTCATGACTGACGGTTTTTTGGCGTTGCTCGGCCACCGAGGCCCCCTGCCCGGCCCTGGGTCCGTCAGAACAGCGACTCGGGATGACGACCTGGCCCGAAGAGTGCGCCTTGCCCGTCGGACGTCGGGGGGCCCTCAAAGCGCGATGCCTGACTCGTGCGCCATGGTCTGGGCCGAGTTTTTCTTTGTCCTGGCACGACAGACCGACACTGAACGATACACCGACGGGCCACGCCACTTGACGTCCACGTCGCGGCCCCTCACCCTCGTGGAGAAGGCCTGGTAGAACTTGAAGAGCACGGAGGTGGTCCTGCCACGCTTCTGCGCCCAGAGGCTGCGGACGTGGAGCGGGTGGACCCGGACCCGTACTTTCTCGAGCTGCCGCGCGCGCTTTCCCAGGTTTCGCTGGCGGCATTGCAGCAGCGCCTGCTTCAAGCAGAACAAGCGCCGATTGGACAAAGAATACATATCTTGTCCGTGCTCGACCGTCTCCAGTACGAAACTGGAATCTTTCAGCGGGTCGGCGGGGCCAGGATCGACCAGCGCAGAGATCGTCTCCTCCAGCAGGCGCTTGTCCCGGAAACGGCGGCTAATATCGGAATGCGTGTAGAATAAATCGTCAACGCAAACGAACTCTTCCCGGACTGGAGCGTCAAAAAAGCGCTTGATCCATTTATAACAGGCGTCGCCGCAGCATCGACAACTCCTCCAACTATGCAAGATCTCCCACAGTCCGTGGTACTGGTGATACGCGTCATGGTAACTTTCCCAAAGAACCACCAACGATTCCCGCAAACCCTCCATGACTTGTTCCTGCCCTGGATCGCGCTCCGACCCGGGGGGGTGAATCATTTTCTCCAATCTCTCCTGCAATGACCTGACGCACTGGTACTCGTCAGATCTTGTAACCATCGATACCAACGCGCCAGCCATACCGCTGCGTTTGGCCAAGAATTTGAACCACTGCTCTAAGACGCTTCTGTCAAGCTCCCACTCGTGCCGGTCGGAGAAATAAATACCGAGCGACACACCAACATGCCTGAATGTCGCCCGAGCTTCCTGGAAGCGTCCATCGCGTTCATATCCCTCGGCCTCCCGGAGGTGGTGCCAGACGCTGGTGTCCAAAATCTGCACAAATGCCTGGACGTCGTTCCAGAACGACTCGTTCGACGCCGGCTTGGTCTTTAACCGCGCGTCAATTCTCTCTTTCTTGTCCCGCCCAAACGCCGATAGCAAATCGGCCCTGCACGTTATATCCGCCACCGCGCCCTGAGGCACGAGATGGAGTGTCCTAAAGTCCCTCGGGGCTCTCCGTCCTCTGTGCTGACTGCTGAATCTGGAGGGGCGCGGGCCCAGGGCGCGCCGCGTGTCCCCGCGTGATTTTACGCGGAGCCAAGGGGGCCCCCAAACGGCTCAGGAAGCCCCAAGAGGCCGCCAAGGGCGCCCCGAATTGCCTAGATCACTCGGAGCCTCTCAGCATGGCCTCCAGACGGCCCAAAAGAAACCCCCTAGACACCCCAGGAGGGCTCCAAGAGACCCTCCAACAGGGCCCCGACACGCCAAAATCTTCCTCCAGTTTTTGAAGGATTTCAGCGTTCTCCCCCTTTCGGGTTCTCGGTCCCCAGGGACAGCCACGTAGGCGCTCGAGATCGCCCCAACATGGCTGGCCCAAGAGGCCCGCAAGAGGACCCCAAGACGGCCCAAGGGGGCCCCACGACAATCCAAGAGGGGGGACACGAACCGACAGTTCCAGCCCCCCGCCCGGTACGTCCTCTGAGACCGCAAGCAGGCCCCCAAGAAGCCCTCCAGAAGCTCCAGACCCCAAGAGGCCCAACGAGAAGCGTCTCGAGAAATCCCCACAGGCATTCCAGAGACCTCCCACATAAAACCTGGGCGTGGTGGCTACATGGGCCGAAGGCCGCTAGATCCGCCGCTCCCAGTTGCTTGCAACCGGGGTGCCTGGCGTGCCAGACTATATGGATTTTGGTTTTGGTTCTTTTTCCAAAAAGAGCTCCCCCTGAGGCTTGGGCCCGTCCCGCCAGGGTCCGGGGAGGATTCCCCGGGAGCTCAATTCTCCCAATTCTTCCTCCAAGACGGCTCAAGATAGCCTCCAAGACGGCCACGTTGGCCCAAGATGGCCTCCAAGATGGTCCAAGATGGCCTCCAAGTCCGCCCAAGATGGTCCAAGACGGGCTCCAAGACGGCCCAAGAGAGTCCAAGACGGCCCAAGACGGTCCAAGAGGCTCCCCAGAGGCCTCCAAGAGGCCTCCAAGAGGCCTCCAAGAGGTCCTCCAGGAGGGCCCGAAGCGGCCAAAATCATTGATATTCCGTAGGTGTTTGAAGGCTTTTGGAATTTGCTTCTTCTCGGCGTTCCGACCTCTCAAGACGGCCCAAGAGACCCCTAAGATCGCCCAAGAGGCTCCCAAGAGGGCCCCATGACGGCCCAAGTGGCCTCCAAGACGGCCTCAAGAGGGCCCGAAGACGCCCCAAGATGCCTCGAACATGCCCAAGATGGCCTCCAAGACGTCCAAGATGGCCTCCAAGACGGCCCCGAAGCGCCCCAACAGGGCCCCAAGTCGGCCCAGAAAGGCCCCCAAGAAGGCTCCCGACGGCGTCAGACGTGCTAGGAACCCACCAAGATGGCCGAAGTTGGCTCGAAGCTGGCCCAAGACGGCCCAAGAGGCCCCAAAGAGGGTCTCCAGAAAGGCCAGAAGAGGCCAACAGCATTGATGTCCTAAGGTTTTTAACAGATGTCGACATTGGCTTTTTTTCGGCCTTCCGACGGCCCGAATGGGCCCAAGAGCCCCCAAAGATCGCCGAACATCGCCCGAGAGGCCTCCAAGATTGCCCCAGAACGGCCCAAGAGGGCCCCAAGACTGCCCCAAGAGGCCCCCAAGACGGCCCAGGAGGCCTTTCAGACGCCCAAGATGGCCTCCAAGACGGCCCTGGAGCATTCCAAGAGGGCCCCAAGTCGGCCCATAGAGCCCCCCCAAACGGCTTCCGACGGCGTCAGACGGACCAGGAGCCCATCAAGACGGCCGAACATGGCCCTAAGATGGCCCAAGACGGCCCACGAGGCCTCCAAGAGGGCCTTCAGGAAGGCCCAAAAAAGCCAACATCATTGATTTCCCATGGGTGTTTGAAATATTGTGGCGTTGGCTTGTTTTCTGCCTTCCGACGGCCCGAGACGGCCCAAGTGCCCCCAAAGATCACCCAAGAGGCCCAAGACACGGCCCCAAGAGGCCCCCAAGACGGCCCAAGAGGCCTCCAAGACGCTCAAGATCGCCTCCAAGACGGCCCAAGAGCCCTCCAAGACGTCCTCCAAGAAGGCCTGAAAGGGTCAAAATGGCCTCCAGACGGCCAAGACGACCTTCAAGATGCCCACGTGTTCCCCGAAGGCTTTCCAAACCGATTCGGGGAACACATGGTCCGATAGCTTGGCAGGTCTGGTCTCAACGTTCGGCCACATATGCACTTCCAACAAGGCAGTGGGTGGCGGTGATTCGCCGTAGGCGTCTTCGATCCGCCGCCCCCTG